CCCTCCCATGCACCTACCTCCTCCAGGATCACAGTCCTGGAGGTCTCCCACAACCTCACCAACACAGTCCTCCCACGCAAGTCCCCCAACGCCTTTTCTATTGAGACCCTCGGTTGGACTTTCTCTGCCAGCTCTCTCCCACGTACTCCCTCCACCAGCACCCTCCCACGTACTCCCTCCACCAGCACCCTCCCACGTACACCCTCCACCAGCACCCTCCCACGTGCTCCCTCCACCAGCACCCTCCCACGTACACCCTCCACCAGCACCCTCCCACGTACTCCCTCCACCAGCACCCTCCCACGTACACCCTCCACCAGCACCCTCCCACGTACACCCTCCACCAGTACCCTCCCACGTACACCCTCCACCAGCACCCTCCCACGTGCTCCCTCCACCAGCACCCTCCCACGTACTCCCTCCACCAGCATCCTCCCACGTACACCCTCCACCAGCACCCTCCCACGTACACCCTCCACCAGTACCCTCCCACGTACACCCTCCACCAGTACCCTCCCACGTGCTCCCTCCACCAGCACCCTCCCACGTACACCCTCCACCAGTACCCTCCCACGTGCTCCCTCCACCAGCACCCTCCCACGTACATGCTCCACCAGCACCCTCCCATGTACACCCTCCACCAGCACCCTCCCACGTACACCCTCCACCAGTACCCTCCCACGTACACCCTCCACCAGTACCCTCCCACGTGCTCCCTCCACCAGCACCCTCCCACGTACACCCTCCACCAGCCCCCTCCCACGTACACCCTCCACCAGCCCCCTCCCACGTACACCCTCCACCAGCACCCTCCCACGTACACCCTCCACCAGCACCCTCCCACGTACACGCTCATACCGTGGCTATGTACTAGGCTGCGATAACTGCCTGGACAATAGGGCTAAGTGTGGCTACCTAGATATTTTAGAAGCTCCAGTAGCTGCCTGTGTGCAGGCGATGAGTCACAATAACGTGGCTGAAGTAAGTTGACCAGACCACACACTAGAACGTGAAGGGACGACGACGTTTCGGTCCGTCCTGGACCATTCTCAAGTCGATTTTGAAGACATAATCGACTTAACAATGGTCCAGGACGGACCGAAACGTCATCGTCGTCCCTTCATTTTCTAGTGTGTGGATTGGTCAACATACCTACCACTAAGTCTACCTTTAATCTCTGCTGTAAGGTGTTAAGGCTCGGGTGACCTACCATCAGGACTCTCAAACCAGTACTTAGGTCAGCACGTTGTTATGAACTAGCAGTTGTCTCGTCTGCAAATTGTGGAATGGCTTTTTTTTTTTTGGGTAAGAGTATCCTAGACATTGTTTAGCCCTCTAGCCTTGTTTATGGTTGTTAGAGGTGTGATGATTGTTAACGATGAATATAATTTGTAGGTTCGTGGTAATGAAGTCATAATACTGTGTGTGTGTGTGTGTGTGTGTGTGTGTGTGTGTGTGTGTGTGTGTGTGTGTGTGTGTGTGTGTGTGTGTGTGTGTGTGTGTGTGTGTGTGTGTGTGCGCGCAATTACACCCACAGGGCGAGCAAGATTTAGCTACAGAGCCGTACCGCAGAGTACGCACCACAGCCGTACCACAGAGTACGCACCACAGCCGTACCACAGAGCTATGGTACATGGTACAGTGACACCTCCCGACGTTCCTGTACTGTGTCGTACATTCTCTTGAAGCTGTGAGTGGTTTCTAGCGCCTCTGTCTCCAGCTTGTTCTTATTGCTTACGGCTCACTGCAGACCTCTGCTGCTGCTGCTGCACGAGCCTATACCAGGCTCATACCCCACACCTATCATCTACACCCACTACACCCACCTGTCAGCTACACCCACTACACCCCACCTGTCATCTACACCCCACCTGTCAGCTACACCCACTACACTCCACCTGTCAGCTACACCCACTACACACCACCTGTCAGCTACACCCACTACACCCACCTGTAGAGTACACAAGCCAGCTGCCCCTCACCAACCTTGCGCTACATCAGCAGTTGTAGTATTAAAAACAGCAGCGGCACAGCATGAGTGGCAACTGCAGAAGCAACAGTAGCAACAACAGCAGAAGCAACAGCAGGAGCAACAGCAGGAGCAGCAGCAGGAGCAACAGCAGCAGGAGCAACAGCAGCAGCAGCAGGAGCAGCAGCAGGAGCAGCAGCAGCAGGAGCAGCAGCAGGAGCAGCAGCAGCAGGAGCAGCAGCAGCAGCCTTGCCGGCCTCTCTTTGTGGAGCTGATATTGATTCAGCAGCTGTCCCGGTGACGCCCGCCCCTCCTGCTGTACCGCTGCGCTGTGCTATGCTACGCAAAGACGTACCGCCTTGGTACACCTGTTGTTGGTACACGCCTCTACTGCTGTACCGCTGGTACACCTGTTGTTGGTACACGCCTCTACTGCTGCACCGCTGGTACACCTGTTGTTGGTACACGCCTCTACTGCTGTACCGCTGCGCTGTGCTGTGCTACGCGAAAATGTACCGCCTTTGTACATCTGAAGTTGGTACGCGGCTCTGTTGCGGTACCGCTGCTCGGGGAGTTGCTGTCCGTACCGTCGTGAGACACAAGTTGTTGTACCTGTCTATTGTACGGTACCGCTGTTTTGGCCTTAGTCGCACTGTGGTGTTCACCTCTAACTGGTGGTGGTGGTGGTGGTGGTGGTGGTGGTGGTGGTGGTGGTGGAAGTGATGGTGGTGGTAATGGTGGAAGTGATGGTGGTGGTAATGGTGGAAGTGATGGTGGTGGTAATGGTGGAAGTGATGGTGGTGGTAGTGGTGGAAGTGATGGTGGTGGTAATGGTGGAAGTGATGGTGGTGGAAGTGATGGTGGTGATAGAGGTGGTAGTGATGGTAGTGGTGGTGGTAATAGTGGTGGTGGTGGTGGTCGTCACTTACCCCTAACAATATTTACCTAAAAGTGGTGGTTGGAGAATAAGGTTTAACTCCTTTTAGCCTTTTTTGATATGAGATCTATTTTTAATTTAATTTTCGAGTTCTTTTGTTGTGCCCGGCCCCAAAGTTGTCGACGCAGGTGGCTTCCACTATTTCTTTCAGTGCACCTGTTGAAAATCATAACTTTCAGTGCACCTGTTGAAAATTATGACTTTCAGTGCACCTGTTGAAAATGATAACTGTCAGTGCACCTGTTGAAAATTATGACTTTCAGTGCACCTGTTGAAAATGATAACTTTCAGTGCACCTGTTGAAAATGATAACTTTCAGTGCACCTGTTGAAAATGATAACTTTCAGTGCACCTGTTGAAAATGATAACTGTCAGTGCACCTGTTGAAAATGATAACTTTCAGTGCACCTGTTGAAAATGATAACTGTCAGTGCACCTGTTGAAAATGATAACTGTCAGTGCACCTGTTGAAAATGATAACTTTCAGTGCACCTGTTGAAAATGATAACTTTCAGTGCACCTGTTGAAAATTATGACTTTCAGTGCACCTGTTGAAAATGATAACCTGTTCAAGGTACGAGTATTTACTTCCGTTTATTAGACTGGTCTTTCCTATAAGATTTTGTCCTTTTTTCCTCTCCGTTTAAAGGGACCGTTCTTGTCCACTTTGTCTATTCCTCTCATTATTTTGTATGACGTGATCATATCCCCTCTGCTTCATCTCTCTTAGGGTTCTGAGATTTTGTTCCTTTAATTGATCCTAATAGTTTAACCTCTCAGTTCTGGCTCTGAATTTGTTGTAAACCTCTGTCCTTTGACACTATTACTTGCTTCACGCCACGCGGACTCCAGGCAACAAGGAGCAACAGCACAAGGAACAGCAGTTACAACACAAGGAGCAACAGTTACAACACAAGGAGCAACAGTTACAACACAAGGAGCAACAGTTACAACACAAGGAGCAACGGTTACAACACAAGGAGCAACAGTTGCAACACAAGGAGCAACAGTTACAACACAAGGAGCAACAGTTGCAACACAAAGAGCAACAGTTACAACACAAGGAGCAACAGTTACAACACAAGGAGCAACAGTTACAACACAAGGAGCAGCAGTTACAACACAAGGAGCAACAGTTACAACACAAGGAGCAACAGTTACAACACAAGGAGCAACAGTTGCAACACAAGGAGCAACAGTTACAACACAAGGAGCAGCAGTTACAACACAAGGAGCAACAGTTACAACACAAGGAGCAGCAGTTACAATACAAGGAGCAACAGTTACAACACAAGGAGCAACAGTTACAACACAAGGAGCAGCAGTTACAACACAAGGAGCAGCAGTTACAACACAAGGAGCAACAGTTACAACACAAGGAGCAACAGTTACAACACAAGGAGCAGCAGTTACAACACAAGGAGCAACAGTTACAACACAAGGAGCAACAGTTACTAGCGTTGTAACGCTGGTGGGTCGTTGTGACGATAACTGATAATAATATATGTCATCATCTCTCTAGACGAAGTCAAGATTTGGACTCCACATATATATGGCTGTGGGCGACTCCTGTTGATACTGGGTGCCAGGCGGCCCTCACCCTCCCACCACCCATCCCAGCCCCTTCCATCCCCCCTCTCCTATTCCATTCTCCTCTTCCCCCCCCCCCCTTTACCCCTCACCCCCTCCCCTTCACCCCTTCTCCCTCACCCCCTTCCCCTCTCGGGGCGGGCAGCAAGCAACAGGTGCTCGGAATGGCACATGTGCAGTGACAGTGGGATAGGTGGGAGGAGTGACAGTGGGACAGGTGGGAGGAGTGACAGTGGGAGAGGTGGGAGGAGTGACAGGTGCGACAGGTGACGGAACAAGACAAGCGGGGCGAAGCTTGGCCGAGTCATAATGTATGTCAGACTCGACCAACACTCCCAGCGGTCACTACCTGAGGAGCGACGCTGGTTCAAGGCTCAATCGACGTATTCGCCGTCGAATAGACGCTGATGACGTTGATTCGACGCTAACCCCCGAGGACGGCACTACACCATGTCGTAGCTCTGTCGATTAAGGCAGCGTCTGGGATGCTCTCGGACGCAGGTTCGAATCCGCGTCACGGCCCTTGGGGATTTGTTCATTCGATGCATCACGCTGTTGTGATTTGTATGTAGTGTAGTGTAGTGTAGCGATATTACACCCACTGGTTCCCTGCTCCTGCCTCTCCCATCGCCCTTCCTATCCATCCTCCCCCCCCCCCACACACACACACATCCATCCCCGCTGACCCATTCGCATCCTTCTGTCATCCGACGTTATCCTCCCAACCACCCATCCACCTCCCACTCCTATCCACCAAACACCCATCTAATCCAAGTACGTTTGAAGTATAGTAAATAAAATAATCATTCCTCTACTTTGTCGTGCGACAGATACTAAACAATAAAGATACTAAAGAGAGTGTTATGATCAATGTAGAGTTGATCAAAGAAAACGTAGAGATGGGAGGGAAGACTTGTAGCAAGCTCAGAGTTAGACAATGACTGTGACTGGTGGAGATGGTCGAGCAGTGACTGAGGGGACAAAGACAAGCTATGATAGGTCGAGGCAGATAATCTGTAACTGCTAAAGTCAGATGAGAAGTGAGGGTGGAGAGAAAGTATGGAACGAGAGAATAGAGACAAAAAAAGGGCATAAGGGAATAAAGAAGGCATGGAGGGTGTAGGCATGCAAGGGTCAGGAAGACAGGTGTTTCCAGCGAGCCGGGGAGGCAACACCTGTGGGAGCAAGACACAAGTAGAACCAAGTTCGAAAAGTCAGATAGTCGCGCACCTGTTACACAGTAAAGCTCCTCTCAGCTTTACTGTGCTGTGCTAAGCTTCTGTTTCTCTAAGAAACAGAAGCGAAGCTCTACTATCTTTAAGCGTGTCTGGTGGTAGGGACAGAGCAACGTCTAGAGGCTCAAGAGCATCACATCAATGTCGGGTATGATGTAGAGCCGCTACAACAGTCTGCTCGACCAGCCTGCTCCAACACTACTGATCTCTGAGAAAGAGCTCTGCTCTTTCGGCCCGCCTCTGAACTGTCAATCAATCAACTCTTACTAACTACTAACTATTTTTTATTTTTTCCACACACACACACACACACACACACACACACACACACACACACACACACACACACACACACAGGAAGCAGCCCGTAACAGCTGTCTAACTCCCAGGTACCTATTTACTGCTAGATAACAGGGGCATCAGGGTGAAAGAAACTGCCCATTGTTTCTCGCCGGCATCAGAACTCGAAACCAGACAACAGGATTACGTGCCCAGCGTGCTGTCCACTCAGCCACCGGCCCCCTTCGCCGGTGTGTGGAGAAGAGAATCTTATAATTTTCTTTCAAGTTCCCCGACTTTAAAATACAAATTAGACTTTAACAGCACAGATTCACCCTAGAGTGAGGTATACGTTCAGTGTGATAGAATGTATGATATATGTATGTATGATGTATGAATGTATGATAGAAGCCAGTATAAGAGATTTGGGTGCATATAGTCCTGTTTTGGAGCAAGTTGTTGACAGCACGTACCGTCAACATGCCCAAACGGTAACTACCACTACTTGGCTGCCCTCTAGGGGCCTGACAGCTGAGTGTACAGCGCTTTGGTTTCGTAGTAATGAGGTTCTGGGTTTGATCCCCGGTGGAGGCGGAAACAAATGGGCAGAGTTTCTTTCACCCTGATGCCCCCTGTTCACCTAGCAGTAAATAGGTACCTGGGAGTTAGACAGCTGCTACGGGCTGCTTCTTGGAAGGGGGGGGGTGTAACAAAAAGGAGGACTGGTTGAGGACCGGGCCGCGGGGACGTTAAGCCCCGAAATCATCTATAGATACTCCCAGGCTTTCTCTCCCATCTACTCCTACCTTTTCCCTACCATCTACACCTGAACCAACCCAGCACCCCATCAGCTATGCAGAGAACAGAGCAACAATGAAGAGATTGATTATCTGGTTCATTAATGCTGATGAAATGTCAAGGTGAATTAACTCAAAAAACTGACGACACAAACCCAGATGTGATAACAGTAGTAGAAACTAATATAACTAACCCAATATTCTTAACATTATATGAGATAACAAGAGGAAAATGCACTGAAGAGAGAGCGTGACACTTCTGGTCAAAAGAGAGAAGTTTGAAGAGATTAGTTTTGAGTAAGACACCAATAATATAGAGTGTAGACTACGTGACAGTAGTGGTGACTGTGATTTAAAATCCACCAGAAAACGACAGACGACCCAGGAAACAATACGAACTAAAGTGTAGCTGAAATATCCCTTCGATCGGAAGCGAAGCTGCTAGTAATTAGAAATTTCAATCATGGACAAATTGGGGAATCAATGGATCCGAGAGATAGGGAGGAGAAACGTAGAGGCTGATAGAAGTAGTAGAATGGAAGTTCCTACTGCAACACATAAGCCAGGGAACACAACACCAAGGGTGACCATGATCTTAACACAGTGCAAGATGGGTATTGAGAGGTCGAGCACGTACCTTTTATGAAGGATGTGGCAGAGGCAAGAGAAGAAGAGAGTGGAAGACTAACTTTCTATAAAGGCGAGTACCAGAAGGTCAGAGGATCTTAGAGAATAAACCATGGGATAGTGAGCTCACAGAAAAAACAAGACATGATGGACTACATAACTAACAAATGCAAATAAACTGAAGGAAGCCCACACCCTGATGGCTTGGTGCTGCAGTCTGATGTTTAGTGGCTGTATGTTCAGGAGCTCATGGAGCTCCTGGATTGTCTGATCATATGGTGGACGGTGTTTTGCTGCTCTCCTTAGCGCCTTATTTTGCACTGCTTGCAGTTTCTGCATGTTAGTTTTCTTTATGGTGTGTAGTGGTACTGGGGAATAATCTAGATGTGGCCGAACTAGAGCCTTATATAGGTGGATCTGACTGTTTGTACTGAGGCTTCGGAATCTCCTCAGTTTTCCTAAGGCTGCATTGGCTTTGTTTAGTCGGTCCCTTATGTGGAATTGTATCCCTGTTAAATTTATCCTAAGTCCCAGTATTCTGCCTACCTCCGCATATTGGATCGGATGGTTGTCAAGGATGATGGGGTCCGGGTTTCTTTTCGCAATGTGTGTTATCTAAAACTTTTGTTTGTTTGTGCTTATTTTCCATTGCTTCTCAAAGCTGTTTATGAGTTCAGTTGCTGCCTTGGTCTTGTCGGCTAGTAGCGGCTTTGATGGGCCCGGTTGGCAAATTATTTGGGTGACATCGTCAGCGTATGTGATGTATTCTCCATGTTGGGGTTGGGGTAGGTCAGCTGTATATATGTTGAATAGAGTGGGGGAGAGGCAGCTTCCTTGTGGTACTCCACTTTTCAGTTCTATTACGTCACCCAAGTAGCTGCCGATACTAAGCCTAGCAGTTATGTTGTCTATAAAGCTGCAGAGAGTAGCAGTAAATCTCTCAGGAAGTCCTAGCTCAGATATCTTATATTTTAGGCCTGTGTGCCACACTTTGTCGAAGGCTTTCGAAACGTCTCTAAGCACTATATTACACTGATCTTTTTTCGACACTGCATTGGCTATATGCTCGTAGATCAGGGCTATAGCTGTATGGGCCCCTCTGTGGTTTCTAAACCCATGCTGCCTGGTGTTATACTTCCCTTCCTCTTCCAAGTACTTCACAAGTCTCTGATTGATTATTTTTTCGAATATTTTACCTGGTACTTCGAGGAGGGAAATTGGCCTGTAATTTTCAGTTTGGGTTGGGGGGGTTACCTGGCTTGGGGATTAATCTTATTGTGGCATTCTTGAAGTATGTGGGGAATAGTCCAGATGCAAGAGCTGCCTTTATAATAGGTGTGTATTAATGGAGTGCAATCACTGGTAGGTTGGATAATACCAGCTTATTTATCTTGCTGACGCCCGGCGCCTTGCTCTTGAAACCCATAATTCTTTTATGGACCTCTGCAATGATTATGTGTTTCATTAGGTGGCAGTCATTGCGGATGTTGTTAAGGTCTATTGTTTGAGACGGGAGTAGTGCTGCAGCTCTTTTATCGACTTCAGTTGTAATTTCCCTTTCATTAATTGGGCAGAAGTTTAAGTTTTCTTCCGGGTTTATCCTGAATATTTTTTCACAGAACTTCCTGAATTCTTGTTCTTGTTTTCTCTCTTTTCATAGAGTTTATTTCCTGAGGCGTCTATGATGTAGGGTGTTTCCTCAGAAGTTTCCCATCAGGGTTTTTACTTTTTTCCAGAACTTTCCTGGGTTTCTGTAGAGCTAAAGTTGCTACATCCTTATGCTGGAAAATCCTCTGGCAATGAGGATCTATTGTTACCGTTTCCACGTTGCTCCAGCTACGTGCCCGAGTAATGAAGTGTTCACTAACAGAGGTCACTCAAGACACCTGGAACAAGAGAAAGGAAAGGAAGGTAAAGTATGCAGTGTCTCTGGAAATG